TCCATTTCATTTTTTACAACTTCCAATTTTCCTAGAGTCATACTTTGTACATTCCATGTTCCAATGATTAATGGATGTCTGCAGCTGTTTCTCTTCAATTTGAGTGGTGCCACATCAGCAAATGAAGTTCTCGAAAGCTTTACCTTATCCATATGCGTAAGACTAGGTTTACTCTGATGATGCAGCTCTTTCCCAGTCCTGTTTTGAGAGCCTTGTGACCTAACCGGACTATTCATAAAGTTGTGCGGTAATGTATCAGACAGTGTTTCTTTGCTCTTCATAAGGTTTTCCCTGGCCAATTCTTTGAGAAGTGGATGGCCTCTTCCTTCTACCTAGCCTGTCTCACTCTGTAAGCTGGACTGATGATACCTGTGCACCTTATGCATCCCGCTGGGTTTGAAACACCAGTGGCTCAGCCTGAAACTCACATCAACACGTCACCACGGTAGGACAAACCAACAGACAAGTTTGTCTCCCTGTTGGAAACCTCTCCTACCACCCTTACCTGGGTCCCTGTGGCTGACTGCATATGCAGCATATACAAATATGTAAATAAAAATATCCACAACCACACCTATATGTGTACGTGAGTGTAGTCCCGTACAACTGCCCCACCTAGTTAGCATACATATCCACTTACAAATTATTGTTTGTTACTGCTGTTGTTGCACCCTCATTCCTTTTTACTGCTACATAGTACTCCATCATGAAATGTATAATTTTTTATTCATTCTTTTCCTAATGGACATTTCAGTTGTTTCCAATCATTTTCTATTATAAAGAGCACTATGCTGACTCCTCGCTTATGGACTATCTCCTTATCTGAAATTTCATTATGTTGCTGTTGTTAGGTACCATCAAGTCATCTCTGACTCATAGAGACCTTATGTACAATAGAGTGAAACACTGCCCAGTCCTGTGCCAGCCTCACAATCCTTGCTATGTCTGAGCCCATCATTGCAGGCACTGTGTCAATCCATCTCATTGAGGGCCTTCCCCTCTTTCATGGACCCTCCACCTTACCAAGCATGATATCCTTCTCCAGGGAATGGTCCCTTCTGACAACATGAGCAAAGTAGGTGAGACAATGTATGGCCATTCTTGCTTCCAGGGAGCACTCTGGCTGAATTTCTTCCAGGACAGATTTGTTAGTTCTTTTAGCAGTCCATGGTACTTTCAGCATTCTTCACCAGCACCACAATTCAAAAGCACCAACTCTTCTTTGGTCTTCCTTATTCATTGTCCAGCTCTCACATGCATAAGATGCGATTGAAAATACCATGGCTTAAGTTAAGCACACTTAATCTTCAAGAAGACATCTTTGCTCTTCAGTACTTGAAAGAGGTCTTTTGCAACAGATTTGCCCAGTGCAGTATGTCATCTGATGTCTTGACTGTTACTTCTATTGGTGTTGATTGTAGAACCAATATGAAGTCTTTGACAACTTCAACCTTTTCTCCATTTATTATGATGCTGGTTATTGTCCAGTTGTGAGAATTTTTATTCTCTTTATATTGAGGTGTAATTCACACTGCAGAATGTAGTCTTTAATCTTCATCAGTAAATGCTTTAAGTCATCCTCACTTTCAGCAAGCAAAATTGTGTCATCTGTGTATCTCAGGTTGTTAATGAGTCTTTCTCCAATCCTGATGCCACATTCTTCTTCACGTAGTCCAGCTTCTCGGATTATTTCCTTAGCATACAGACTGAATAAGTATGGTAAAAGGATACAACTCTTGATGCACTCCCTTCCTGATTTTAAACCATGCAGTATCTCCTTGTTCTGTTTGAACAACAGCCTCCTGGTCTATGTACAGGTTCTGCATGAGTACAATTAAGTGTTCTGGAATTCCATTCTTCTCAATGTTACCCATAATTTGTTATGATCCACACTATCGAATGCTTTTGCACAGTCAGTGAAACACAGGTAAACATCTTTCTGTATTCTTTGCTTTGAACCAAGATGCATCTGACATCAGCAGTGATATCCTTCGTTCCATGTCCCCTTCTGAATCCAGCTTGCATTTCTGGAAGTTCTCTGTCAGTATACTGCTGCAACCATTTTTGAATTATCTTCAGTAAGATTTTACTTGAAATTTTGTTATATGACAATAATAAAAAAATCTGTCTATTTTGCACATTAACAACCTAAGTCTGGAAGTAAGAATGCTGAGGTGTGAGGCAAGGGTTAACACTGGCTGTGTATCAACTTGGTTGGGCCATGATTCTCGGTGGTTTGGCAGTTATATAATGTTGAAATTTGACAGTTATGTAATGATGTAGTCACCCTCCATTTTGTGATCTGATGTATCATCCTCCATTTTTGCATAATGCCAATTTTTACCTATTGACTTGGTCTTTGGAACCTAACCATATCGATAAATGAGAAGTAGGCAACTACTCCTCACTTAACGACTATCTTGTTGTCCAACATTTTTCATATATAAGAGTGAAAAAAAAAGTGCTGTCTGAATATTTTGTGTGTTAACAAGTTATGTCTGGCAGTAATGAACACTGAGGTATGAGGTGAGAGTAGCACTGGCTGTGATGGCTAAGACGTGTCAGCTTGGCTGGGACACGGTTCTCAGTGTTTTGGCAGTTATGTAACGATGAACTTGGCAGTTATGTAATGATGAAGTCACTCTCTATTTTGTGATCTGATATGGTCATCCTCCATTTTAGTATAATGCCATGTCAATAAGTGAGGAGTAGGAGTATATGTATATATGTATGTATATATAAAAAGATGATTACTATAAACATCACACATCTGCCATTCAGCTTAAGAGTTGGAGCATTAGTCATTTAGTTGAAGCCCCTATAAACCCCTGACCTCCTCCCTGCTGGCTGGCCTGCCCACCTCTGTCCCACCAGTAACTCTCTGTTCTTAATTTGGTGATTATCAGTCCTGTGAACTCATTAAAGCATCCTTCTTTATTGGGTAGACTGTACTTTGCTTTCTGAGGAAACAGACTGTACCAGGGGGTCTTGGGGCTCAGAGAGGGTGTGGTTACAGTTGGAGTTGGGAGTCCCCTGTGTTGGAGGGACTGGAGGGCCAATCTGGCAGACCTAGGGAGGAGACCAAAAGAATCTGGAATCCTGATCAAGTTAAGGTGGTATTTGACTCTTAAGTCCAAGACTTGTCCAAGCTGGAAAGAAACTAGTTATTTTGGTTCATCATCTCCTTTTGCCACTGGCCACCTGCATGACCTTTTATAAGCCACTATCTCTGACTTTCAGTGGCCCTGTCTTTATAAAGAAGAGGTTGGAGAGGATGATTATGAAGGTCCCTCCACTTCCAGTGAATTTCAGGATCCAACCAGACCTCACTGTGGTCTGCAGATGATAGCTGTGGGAGAGAGAGGAATCAGTTGAGCCTATTCCTCCCCTTAGAAAATTGAGTTGTACAATTCTTTAACATCATTTAAGGAGCTCTGGTGGCACAGTGCCTAAGGCATATGACTGCAAACTAGAAGGTTGGAAGTTCGAACCCACCAGCTGCTCCACGGGAGGAAGATGGGGTGATCTACTTCCATAAAGATTTACAGCCTCAGAAACCCAATGGGTTATGAATCAGAATTGACTCAGTGGCAGGACTGTGGTGACTGTATTGTTGTGCAAGGGGACTTTAAAAGGCTCCCAAATAAGATGTATGGCTGTGGGATAGTGATCAAAGGCTGGCAGATGGGGTTGATGATCACCCTCTTTTTTCTACTTTTACAGGGCTGTGGACAAAGTAGGTGTTCATTTAAATGCTAGGGGAAGAGTTGGGAAGATACATGAGTGGATGGATGGAAGGCTCTGTGGGTGGCAGAGAACATGGATGAATAGATGGAAGGATGGATGGACAGGTGATGGAGATAGGAATGGATGGATGAGTGGATCAAAGAACAGACGGATGAGTGGTTAGCTGGAAGGAGTAAAGGGTAGGATGGTCAGATGGATGGGTGGGGGCTCTCCCCTGTTCACTGCTTGTCATGCTTTGCTTTCAGCTTCGGGCAGCAGAGGTGGAGATCAAAGATCTGCAGTCGGAGTTCGAGCTGGAGAAGATCGATTACTTGGCCACCATCCGCAGGCAGGAACGTGACTTCATGCTTTTCCAGCAGCTGCTGGAGCAGGTGCAGCCCCTGATTCGCCGAGACTGTAACTACAGCAACCTGGAGAAGATCAAGCGCGAGTCCTCCTGGGATGAGGATAGTGGCTTCTGGAAGATCCCTGAGCCTGTCATCAACAAAACCTGCCTCCCAGTAGGTCAGAAGCTTGGCTATCCTCCCCCGCCCCCTTCACCCCTCCCCCGAGTCCTCAAGGCCATCCCCTCCTGCCACCCCAGTCTGCTGTCCTGTAGACTGACAGGGAGCTCCACCCATGTGACCCTGGGGATCCAACATGTTGGGCACTGGAGTCAGACAGAAGTGGGTTGGAATTCTCTACTACTTCCTGTGTGTCCTTACCTGTGAAAGACAGATTAATAATAGTACCTTACAGATGGCTGTGAAGATTAAACAGTGTAATACAGTGAGACCTGTGAGAGCTGGAACTCGATGGGACTACTTTTGTTTTTCCAGGTCTCTCAAGTTTTCCACCTTAGACAGGCTGCAGTCTTACCACTTTTCTGTCACTCACTGAAGTGGAAAACATTTGCATTTTCCTTCTCTGAGAGGTTTCCACCTTACACAGGTTCCAGCTTTAACAGGTTTTACTGTACATGTGAAATCCTTAGGGTAATGCCTGGCATTTAGTAAGTGCTTCATACCGTTTATCATTATCAGGTATCATTGTCATTATTTCGTCCTCACAACAGCCCTGTGAAGTACATAGGACTAAGATTATCGTACCTTCTTTACATGTGAGGAAATTGAATCTCAGAGATTAAATGACTTATCCAAAGCCACAGTCACAGTAGTAAGCTACAGACCCAGGGGCAGAAACCAGCTGTTCAGCATTCCAGGTCTGGGTCAATAATCTGCTTCTGCCACTCGCTTCCTGTATGACCTTATGTAAGTCATTGTGCATCTCTGGCCTTCAGTCCCCCCATCTTTACTAAGACGGCATTGGGCAGGATGAACCTGAAGGTCCCTCACCTCCAGTGAGTCTAAGAGTCAAGTCAGACCTCACTGTGGTCTTCCTCTAACCGCTTAGGGAGTAGCAGCTCTTACATCCCACCACACCCCCCCAGCAGTCCTCCCATCAGTGTTCATCCAGGTCCTCCATTTTGAATGTGTGTGGATGGCCACTGACACCTATTCCTGCTAAGACTTCAGCCGGTTCCATTTCCCACAACCTCTGGGTGGTGGTAGAGCACCCCCTGCACACTCCCTTCCACCCACCCTCAACCCCACTGTCCTGCCTAGGGGCAGGGGAGTAGCTCTTGGCATCTGCCCTCCTGTTGTCTGTTTCCAAAGTCATTCCTGGGCTTGGTCTGGTGAAGTGTCCTAGTCTAACCCACTACTGGGCAGAGCCCTGTAGCCCAGTCTCACCCTGGCCCCCGAACCTGGTGGCAGTGCCTCAGCTGTTGTTTTCTCGTAGCAGTTCCAACAGGGCCAGCGAACAAACCAGTCCGCAAAACTTCTGCAGCAGACAATGGTGAACCAGGCATGGTAAGGGCCCTGGGAGAGTGCATGAGGAGTGGGGAGGTTCATGGGCTTTGCCTGCAAAGTGCAGTGGGGTCAGTGTCATGGGGACCTGGACTTTTACTTTTGTCTCACTTAAAGATTAAAGCAGGAGCTGGGCCTGGAGCCGTTTCTGTGTAGACCCCATCCCCAATAGGAAGGTGGATGGTTCCAGGTGACCCATCCTGCTGGCGAAGGGTGGGGGCTTCACTTCAAACCCAGAGAACAGGCAGTACATTCTGGTCCTGGGCCCCGGGTGATATCCTCAGATCAAGAATGGGCTTCAAAGGGTCCGTGAGACAGGAATTTGGATCCTCAGGTCATTTTATTTTATTTCCATCTCTCTCATATTTTGCATTACACGTGAAAAATATACTTTTAAACCGTTGTTGTTGTTATGTGCCGTTGAGTCTGCCCCGACTCATAGCGACCCCTCCTTGGGTTTCCGAGGCAGTATCACTACGGAAGTAGGATTGCCCAACCTTCCTTCTGAGGAGTGGAAGGTTGGGCAATCCTACTTCCGTAGTGATACTTTTAAACTAGGGGCTGGTAAATTTTTTCTCTAAAGGGCAAGATAATAACTGTTTTAGACTTTGCAGGCCATATGGTATCTGTGACAACTACTCAACTCTGCTGGTAATGTGAAAACAGCCGTAGATGATACTTAAATGAATGTGTGTGGGTGTGTTTCAATAAAGCTTTACTTACAAAAATAGGCTATGGGCCACATTTGGCCCACAGGCCATAATTTCCTGAACCTTGCCTTAAACCATTCCAGATATTCCAGAAAACCCACATAGAATATACCTTTACCATCATAAGGCCACTTTTGGAATTCCAGCCAAGCACCTGGAATGGTGGATGCAAGGAATGTCTCACATTGATCTCAAGCTCTGATTGGCTATTTTTGACAGCTTAACTTCTTTAAAAAGGGAAAGTTGTTGCTGAAAACAAAACATTAACTTGGGACCACAGAAGGGTGGCATTAGAATGTTTTTAGTTCCAAGTGAAAGATACCCAGAGCAAACAATCATATGCAAAATAGGGAATTTGTTGGTTCATGGAAGTGGGCTGGTTTCAGGCATGGCTGGATCTAGGGGCACAAATAATGTTGTCAGGGCTCTGTGTCTTCCTTTACCTCATGGCTCTGCTTCCCTTAGTATGCTGGCTTCAGTCTCAGGCTGGCCCTCTTTGCATAGCAGGAAGGATGGCTGCTGGCAACTTATGATCCAAAAGGAAGAGAGACTCATTAGCTTGAAGTCCTTAAGCCAGAGTGTGTGGAAGGATTCTGATTGGATCTGCCTGGGTCATGAGCCAACTCCTGGACCAGTTACTATGTCCAGGAAGATGTAGTTCTGGGACTGGCCCAATCCAGGTTATATTCCTCCTCTGTAGTAAGGGGTGGAAGTGGCAGAGTAGTGGTGTTAGGGCAATACGAATGGTAACTTCACCAGGACCTGATCAAGTAGGAGAAGGGTGTTCTCTGAAGGCTGAGGACCCCACGTCCACTATAACAGTGAAATGTCCTAGTGATGAAAAGGTTGGGACTCTAGCTACAGTGATCATAAATGCACCATTGCCTGAGTTGAGTACTGTGTCACCTATTCTATGAATATGTTGTGATAGGTTTGGGTTATAAAATAGCACCATACCCCTGTTGGAGCTGTTAAGATACCCTGTTTTGAAGTTTACCTGATTGAGCCAGGGAACAAGGCACTTTGCATCCCAAGGAAGGGAAGGTGGGAGGTAGGCCTGACTTGAGACTGCCACTCCTCTGGCCCGAGCTGCCTGGGGTCTTATCCCTGGAGGCCATGGTCTGTAGTAAAGTTACCTCAGAGCGGGTAGCGACTGCTGCACCCCTGTGACACAGGCTAGGGGAGGCTTAGGGAAGCCCACCCCCTCAGCCTTGCAGAGGCCACTGAGAGTCCTAAGAAGGACCCAGATAAGGACTGCACAAACAGGGGGTCCTTACCCATGGGGAACTGGCAATCCTAGCAGGAAGAAGACCGCTACAAGCTGATGCTCAGTCGGAGCGACAGTGAAAACATTGCCAGTAACTACTTCCGACCCAAGAGGGCCAGCCAGATCCTCAGCACGGACCCCATGAAGAGCCTCAGTGAGTGACCCCACCCCAGCCCCCAGCCTGCCCACTTCCAGCCCTTCCCCAGGGCCATCCACGGCCCTCTTCCAACTGGGAGAGGCGCGGTGGGTTGAATTCAGAGGTCACACAGACCTGAGACCCTCTCCAAGCCTCAGTTTCCTCAGCTATTAAATGAGAAGACTTAATTTTCAGGATTAGACAAGATGAGGTGGGGAAACATAGCCCAGGGCCTGACACATAGTAGGTGCTCAGTACATAGTGTTCTCTTTGTTTGCCCTTTCTTTCCTTGGGCAAGGTGCTGTGTTTGATTTGTTATCTGTCTTTGTTGGCCTTTGTTCTGGTTCCCTAGTGCCTCTCTGACAGGAATACACCACAGACGGTTCAGGAGGCTAGAAGTCTGAGTTCAAAGTGCCAGGCTCTAGGGGCTGTGTGAAAGCCCCTTGACCTTGGGCTTCAGCTCAGCCTCTTGCTCCGGCCCACTGAAGCTAGAGGCATCTCTTCACTCAGGCAGCTAGTAGCTGCTGAGGCTAACAAGCCCAGGGGCGACAAATAAAATGGCACAGTCCTGACATTGCCAGATAACACGGCAGGCCATTGATTCAAGTCCACTGAAAGTCCCAGGATCAGCAGAGCATGGCAGACTGGTGAACAATGACACAGCTACAAGCAGGGTTCAAATGTGTCATAAGCTAGAGACCGTTCCCAAAGCTGTTTCTTATATATGGGAAGCAGACCACATACCCAAAGGCAGCTATTCAGCTGCTCCCAGTAGATTCTACCATGGAGTTGATTACCAGTCTCATCATGGGGAATACTTCATCCAGCTGCCCAGCCACTCAACCAGCCCCAGCCAAGCTGACACACAACCTTAACCACCACAGCCTTCAACACATAGCTCAGGGCCCAGGCATGGGGCTGCCTGGCCTGTGTCAGTTACTCCTGCCATCCTCAGACCCTGTATTGAGACTTCCTCCACATGAGGGCGATTACCCTGTACCTGTCCAGGACCACTGAACCAGGGGGCAAGAAGGGCCACAAGGGCAAAACAGTCTTAACAGCAAGAATTAAAACTCACTTCATTCTTCTGTTTTTAAAATTAAAATCAAAGACCACAGAGTTTCCAGTAAATAGAATAAAAGAGCAAGTATTAGTTCTACAGAAGGCCATTTAAGAGACATGGCAGATGGAGTTGGGGAATAAGGAGGAAAAATTAGGGCAGGAAAGAAAGTAGCACCGATCGAGTACCTGGCACTGTCCCCGGGTTACAGATGAGGAAATTGAAGCTCAAAGAGGTGAAGTGACTGCCCCAAGGTTATACTTCTAGCATGGGGTGAAGCTGGGCTTGGAACCCAGGCAGGTCTGGCTTGAGATCCCAGGCTGCCTCAGTCTGAGGTGGAGAACTCGAAATCCCCAGCCCAGATCCTTGCACTAGGATGGAATGCTGAGTCTGTGACCTCAACCAGAGCAACTTTTCATACCTTGGGGTTCCAGCTGCAAGATTGGGACCACCGGCTGGGAGGGGGTGGGCCGGCCTCTCATCCCTGCTTCTCTCCGTTCCCGGCATTCCTGCTTCACTGGCACCTTTTGCCTTGTTCTCCACAGCTCATCACAACTCACCACCAGGCCTCAGCTCCCCCCTCAGCAGCAGTTCTGCCATCTTGCCCACCCAGGCCCCCGAAATGCCCCAGCCCCGACCCTTCCGCCTCGAGTCCCTTGACATCCCCTTCACCAAGGCCAAGCGCAAGAAAAGCAAAAGCAACTTTGGTAGTGAGCCTCTGTGACCACAGCTGCCTGCTGCTGCCCTGCTGCTGGACCTCCTTGAGACTGCCAGGCCCTCCCAGGGCAGCCCCACACATGCCTCCCCCCCTTGCCCACCACAGAGACCCAGGGCCACTAGGGGCCCCTCAGTCCTGGGAAGACGCATTCTATTCCCTGTTCCCCAGAGAGCCTAGCTAAAGCTGAACCTCTGCCTGGGGCGTGAGCCCCTGGGAGACTGGACCCACTCCAGCTCTCCACACCACATCAGTGTTTCCACCTGCTTGCCTAATGAAGAGCCCACGTGTGCCCACCATGTTGGTCTCTGCCTTGGTGGGCTCAGGAGCCTCAGCCCTGCCCCAGCCCTGCCTTACGGCCTTTACCAGTGACGCCAACCGTGTGCAGCAACTTCCATATGCACGAAGCTCACCACCTTGGCAGCTGAGAAGTAGGCCTTCCTCCAGATGGCTCTGGTTCTGAGGGAAGCCCTGCCAAGGAATGCCTGTCTGAAAGGAGATGGGCACGGAGGAGTCCTGGTGCAGCTGCTCTAATCCTGCCTGCTGCCATTGGTCTGTGGCCCTTGATTGTGCAGTGGCCCCAATAAACTGCCTTTTAAGGACAAATTCCCCTTCGTGATCCCTGACAGTGTCACTGGGCCCCTCCCTGCCATGGCTGCCTGGCCCTCATGGGGATGCTGTCTCTGAGCAGGAGTTCTTAACTCCTGGAGCTGTCAGAACAAAGGCTCCAGGGTTTCTGCAGCCCCCTTCAGTCGAGTGTAAGTCCATTTTTCTGGGGAGAGTGTCCAAACTTTCATTAATTATTTTTTTTTCAACCTATCTAGGAATTTCCCCTCACCTCCCCCCCCATGCCTGGTAACCAACAAAGTCTCCTTCTATATATAAACCTTTCCTTGACTTTTTATAATAATGGACTAATACAATGTTTGTCCTTCTGTGATTGATTTATTTCACTCAGCATAATGTCCTCTAAGTTGCTCCATGTTATGTGGTGTTTCACAGATTCTACATTATTTATTCTTCAGTGTTGCATAGTAGTCCAATGTGTGTATGTACCACAGTTTGGATATCCATTCCTGGGTTGTTGGGCACTTAGGTTTCTTCCATCTCTTTGCTGTTGTGAGTAGTGCTGGATGACCATGGGTGTGCATGTATCTATTTGTGTCCTAGCTCTCACTTCTTAAGGATATATACCTAGTAATGGGATTCCTGGATCAAATGGTATTTCTGTTTCCAACTTTTTAAGGAATTGCCATACTGATTTCCACACAACAGTGGTTGTATCATTTTACAGTCCATATGATCTACTACTATGCCAGGAATGACAGTTTGAAGAGGAATGGTGTGGCATGCATCATCACAAAAGATGTTTCAAGGTCTGTCCTGAAGTACAATGCTGTCAGTGATAGGATAATATCCATACACCTACAAGGAAGACCAGTTAATACGACTATTATTCAAATTTATGCACCAACCACCAAAGCCAAAGATGAGGAAATTGAAGATTTTTATCAACTTCTGCAGCCTGAAATTGACCGAACATGCAA